GGACCGTCCCGCCATCATCTCGAACATCAGCACGCCCAGAGCCCACCAGTCCACACTGAACCCTGTGCACAAACACACCATCACCTCAAACATCAGCACCCCAGAGCCCACCAGTCCACACTGAACCCTGTGCACAAACACACCATCACCTCAGACATCAGTCCATGCTGAACCCTGTGCACAAACACACACACTGAACCCTGCACACAAACACACCCCATCATCTCCAACATCAGCACGCCCAGAGCCCACCAGTCCACACTGAACCCTGTGCACAAACACACCATCACCTCAAACATCAGTCCACGCTGAACCCTGTGCACAAACACACACACTGAACCCTGCACACGCACAGAGTCTGAGCCAGCTCTCCAGGGGGTGGGAACGCTCCCAGGAACCAAGATTAGTGGGTGTTAAGGCTCCCAGAACCAAGATTAATGGCCGGGTTTACAGCCCCGACACTCTGTGCTTTCACTCCACGCACACTGTCACTGTCACTGGGGGAGTTCCAGTTTGCTGAGCTGGGATTACAAAGGTAACCTGGGGGGGAACCCAGAGGTGCCTGCAGACAACAGTGCTGCAGAGGAATCCAGGGGATTTAAGCTATGTTCACACTGGTGTTGTATGATTTACAAAGAAGCTGAAGTGAGTGATTGCAAAAGAAAAAAACCCCTCATTTCAGGAAAAAATTAAGCTGTACAATATGCATTCGATTTTCTCAATATATAATAGCACAGAAATGTAGAAATCTAAAAATGGTTGTATTTGAAACAAGCCACAGCTCGAGTAATGATAAGTTGTGTAGTCAAAACTTACCATATTCTTCTCCTCTGAGGATCTCTGGTGCAATATAATTTGGTGTCCCACAGAAAGTGCTTGTAGTGTCACCAGGGCCCAAACCTTCCTACGTGCAGAAATCATTTCATAAATTAAAAGCTGATCTCCTTTTCTGGGAATTTCCCTTCATTAGATTTAAAAAGCCAAGTTATGAGGGAGTCTAAAAGAGCCTCCTTGCACAAAATAAATACTCATAGTATCAAAACTGGTTATGACTCCACAGCTTATCTGAGCAAAGCAGCTGATTAAAACTGAGTCACAACATGTATGTAACAACATTTTGCTCACTATTTACAGATACATTTAAAAAAAGAATCAGTTGAACATCGTGGAAGTCCTTTTCAAATGGATGTTGGGGAAAAACCCTTCTCTCACATCCAGTTCCAAATGTGGTTCTACTCAACAGTACTTTTTTTTCAGAGTAAACTTCCCATTCCACAGCCAAGTTCTGGGCTCAGTAACACCAGAGTGGAGATAAAGATACATTTTCTTAGTGCTCTCTCAACATCACTGGATGCAGCATCAGAGAGATCTACAGCTGAGGGACAGAGTGACAGACAAACACAGGGAAAACCCCACCTTGCACATGCCATAGTCTGTTAATTTGATGTGACCCTCTGCATCCAAGAGAACATTGTCCAGTTTCAGATCTCTGTAGATGATGCCTCTTTCATGGAGGAAGTTTAGAGCTATACAAATTTCAGCAGCATAAAACCTGAAATTAAAAAGGAGAAAATCCATATTAGCAATCAAGGTGGTACAAAAGCTGGTGCAATTTAAATGTCTGTTCTTAGAATATCACTTTACAGTCAACTTTTATCTTTCAACAGCATAACAAAACCAAGCTATGTTTATTCATAAGAACACTGATCTCTTATAAGACCATTCCTTAAATTAAATATGAGAAATTATTTTTTTTATTCTACTAAGTAAGAAAATATTTGCTTTTTTATCTTTTGCTGAAAATTCCAAGTATGAGAAGGAAGATCTGTGTTTTCAGCTTACAAAGAGTGACAGTGAGACTTGGTGTAGCACAGGGCAGTGCAAAATGGATTTTTCATCTTCTCCTGCCAACACTATATTAATTCAACATAAGACCAAATTAAGTAGAATAGTTGCACCTTCTATCAACAGATCAAAGAGGCATTACCTAAATATGAAGCAATTAAGAGGAGTAAATAGGAATAACTGCTACTACTTAACTGCTTGCTCTAGTTCAAAAAACGCTTCAAAAAATAAAATTAACATATTTTCCCAGGGCAGGACGTTCTAAACTTAAGAATCAAGCTTGCATTCTTTTTTTTTTTAATGGAATACACTTTGTTAGGTATACAAACATCCAACCACCCCAAGCCAAGCCCTCGGTGTGGGGCAGGAAGTACCTTGCATGTTCTTCAGGAAGCTTCCTCTGCCGTTGCATGTGGAACATGAGGTCTCCCCCATTCACATACTCTATGACAAGAAACAATCTGAAAGTATATAACACAATTAATGGATTCCAAGGGAACTCTCCAGCAGACTCCTGAGCACTGCCCTGGCCCTCCTCAGCAGAGTGTCAGGAGCTGTTCCTTGGGAAGCTCTTGTTTTCCCCCTGTTCCTGCTCTCCCTCCAGCCCTGCCCCAGCCCTGCCCTCGTTGAGCTGCCCCCCTGTGCTGTGCTGAGCAGTGGATCCCTGGCACAGCTGGTGCTTCCTCCCCACATCCCTGGCTGGGGATGGCAGGAACTGTGCTGGGGGAGGAGCAGTTCAGCACAAGGACCAGGGGGTGCAAAACAAAAGAATTTTCAGATCTTTCTTACCGACTCGTTGTTTGAAAGCATGAGTGTAAACCAACTAGGAATGGGTTACTGGATGCCTGTTCAAACACATGTTTCTCTGTCTGTACCCAATCAATATCCTGAAATAGAGTAATTGAACAATCAGAACTCCTGCTGGATAACCACTGGGGGTATTCCCAGAACAACACTGAGCATCTGTGCTGCCTCACACACACCAGCACTGTCACACGTTCTTCAGAAAGACAACACCCCCGAAAAACCTGGAGGAAGTTATTAAACATTGGCATTCAGTTACACAGGGAGAAGTTTCTTAACCATTTGAGAAAGTTCTGCACAGAACTGAAGTCCTTACAAATATCAGACATCTGCAGTATTTGATACACTGCTCATTGTGCTGCATGGAAATAAATTCAGTTCTTAGATAACTATCCCAAAGCTGCTGAAGCAACTCATGCCAGTGACACAAGCAGTGAGAATCTGCAGTTTTTAAAAGGTTCACACAAACTGAACTTCGTCTTCTCATCTGAAATTCAAATTTAATTCAATGAAACTACCAAAACCTGCTCAGTTGGTCCAGCCAAAATCATGAAAAGCATCACAGATACCTTTAATCCTTCAACGGGGCAAGTCCTGGATACCCAGTGCAAAACCACATCATAAAAACCTACCAAAGCCTGAACGTGCTGCAAACTCAGATGCCTGATAACAAAGCATTTAAGCACTATTCCATGTAACCACACACAATTGAAACCTTCCAGGCAGTTTTAGCAAAGTTCACTCCTCCTGCAATGCACTGATCATGTGTCACCCTGCCAATACACTAGAAATATAATTATTCTAAAAATCCTCCATTTACAGCAGATACTTCCAGCTCTCCAACCAACGTGGAGACAAATACAGAGAGTGAGAAATCAGGCCCTCCTGGCAGGGATGGACAGAGAAACTGAGGTCTCAAAGGAAACCAAGAAATGTTACTATCAGACTAAATAAATCTGTTGGGTTTTGTGTTCAGACACTCAGGAAGATACAACCCCTTGGAAGGGTAAAGCTGGATCCAAACAAGAGCCAAATGTCCTACTTTGAATAAGGCAATAAATATGTCCACTTCTTTTTGGGTTTACTGAATGAGTTTCTCTTTAAATTAACCCCAGTTAGTTAATTAATCAGTGCACTTGTGTACTCATGCATTAGTACTGTACTAGGGCACCACTGTTAACAAAATTCAGCACAGGAAAATGTCACAGCAGAAGCCCAGGTATTTGATTTGCTTCTGTCTCACTTCTCTCCACTATCAACCATTCCCTGGAAAGCACAAGCCAATTTAAACACGCTGATCCTTGCTATGTAATTGATTTTCCTTCCCCATGAAACACTTACAAGGTGAAATTTCCATTACTTGCAATATCTCATGCGCTCCCAGAATTCAGAGAATTTCCTATCAACCCCCAGAATTTCATTATGCAGACTATCTCAGAGAAAAGAAAAGCCAATTAGCTCAATCTTCTGTGTAATTATGAGAGCCACTATTCAAGAAAGCCTTTTCTCATCTACCTCTGGTTCTCAGAAGCTGCTGCATAAGCCAGGGAACAGCATTTCAGCTTCTGCCTTCTTGGAAACACAGGGCAAAAGGAAAAGGTGAGGGAACCACACAGCAGCCTAAGCTTTGTTCAGAAAGGGAAACAGCACAAAGAGCAAGCCAGAGGATTTAAGAAGAACTGATCCCAGCCTCTGGAATAATGGCAAACATGACAGCCAGAGCAACTACCAACACAAATAGTACTTAAAACAGTGCTTTGGGCTTTTTTCCCCCAGCATCCTACTTTCAAAAAAGTGTGAATATTACAGGAAAAAGATGAAGGGTTGTTGAGGGGCTTTTCTTCCCCCTTTTGAATTTTTCTTTTTCCCCCCAAACTTGTGCATTTGAGATCTTGTATTAAAAAAAATTTAACCGGATTTTGAAAAGAATTGAGGAATGCAGTGCATTTCTGTGGCAAGCAGAAAAACCAGAGACCTCAAATGGCAGCAGCATCATTTCTGAACTCATGGAAAAAACATCCCAGAGTACTGTGCCTCTTGCACATAAGCTCCACCACCAGGCCTGTGAGAACACACTTCCAGCTCCTTTTCTGGCACACAGACAATGCTTTTGCCTTGGAAAACATCTTTTGTTTTCTTTCAAAATTCAGTGCACAAATTCCCCATTTATCTCGTCACTTACAGATCAGTATGTCCAGGTTGGAATATTTAATACATAATTTCTACTAAAGCTATTAATAACTGTTATTAAAATAAGGGACATTTCTCTCAGATTTCCTCCTGGTGCTTCATGCAGACAAGTTGATGACAAACGAGTTCCAAAGTCAGAAAAACAACGACAGAAGAGTCTGACCCACGAGCTGCTTGCTCAGCTGAATGTTTTCTGTTAAAGCATCCCAAGTTTTTGTAACATGTAACAGAATGCAATTAACCCAGGGTTTTACCTCATCGTCATGGACCAATTCCTTTTTCACCACTTTCATAGCATAGATCTGATCGTTCTTTTTTAACCGAACCAGCAGAACTTTGGCGTAACTTCCACGGCCGATAACTCGGATTAAATCAAAGTCCTGGAGTCCAAGCCCCTGAGAAATCTTAATTCCATCCATTCCATCAATGACTGGTTTGATATCCTGCATAAAAAGAAACAGATGCTGGAAACAGAAAACATTTCCATAGCAAGTAACTATTAAAGCAAAGAGAACTTTCAGCACGGGGCAGAATCTGCTGAGGTTGCTTGGCCCTGGACACAGGTCTGAATGCTGATTGTAACATTTTTATTTTTTTTACAAGTGTTTGGTTTCTGTTGGTTTTGCTCTTACTAACAGTTACTGTTTTTTCAGGGCATTAGTTCATCCAGTGAAGCATTTTCACATTCCCTCCTGGAAGGCAGAAGGCAATGCCTCGAGAAATGGGGTTTGATTCAAATCCTTGAACCTCAAGCCATGTGGAATTTTCCCTTGTTCTAAGTGAAGAGCACCTTTCAATCCTGACAGGTGCTGCAGTAAAATGAATAAAGGCTATCCAAACGTAAGATGGAAAAGGGAACACTAATTTGCTAATGAATATACCTGCCTTGGTTTCAGCTTCTGTGCTCGGTTCTCTACAGTTTTAATGAAAATGAAGATTCCTAACAGGTGCCTGGGAACACACAGAAGCAGACCTCAATTTCTCAAGTGTGAGAATCTGCAGGAAACATTACACTTTCGGGAACGTTATTTTTAAATTCATTATTTAAAAAAAGATAAATTTCCTCATCTTGACTGCTTGCTGGAATTAGTTATGAAAATGTGGGACTGAAGATGGAGCAGCTGAACCAGCCAAATGCAGCAGGTACCCAGGACATCTCTGGTTTTACCCATCTATCCAAGGCTTTGACACACTTTGGTGGCCTATTTTTATCTGACCTCACACTACTGTACTTGGAGACAGATCAGCATTCTGTGCAACCATGGAAAGTATTTATATAAAGGATCTTGATCTAGGATTGACTGCTATTAGAAGAGATTGCTCTAAGCTTAAAGATTCTAGGCAAGGCTCCCAGAATGCCAGTTCCTCTCTGTAGGATACCTGAGATATTTCAGTGCAGCTCCAAAGCCAGGTGGGACAAGGAGAGCAGCAGAAGTCAGGGCAGGTGAGCAAACAGCACCTCTCAACATCTGCACACACCCTGAGCACTGACCACGGCAGCAGCCAGCAGTTAAAACACTCTGATGGGTTGTTAATTTATACCCTTCCATCCCTGAATTTGAGATAAAATCTAAAGACACATGACTGCAAATAAAGCAGTCACCCAAGAGCAGAACTACTCAAGGGAGAAAGGAGTGGTAGTGACAGGCATTGTAGTGGAGGGAAAGGAAAAAGGTGCAGCCTTGCTCAGAGGGGCATATCAGACCCTTTTAAAAGAAATCTCTTAAAGCCCTTTAGAAATGAAGCATACTGGGATTTTTCAGACATTCTTGATGTGTAGAGACTGTCAGACCTTCTATAAAAGAGCTGAAAAAAAAAATGAGTTCAAGTGTATGTTTTTCTACTTGTATTTCCACAGGAGCTGCCTACAAATTATTGGGTATTATTTATATGAAACCTCTCAGGGGGCTGGATGGTTAATGTATTATCAGATGAACCAACAGCCTGAGGGTGACAAAGGGTGCACATCCATTAGGGCCAGCACACAAGGCAATGTCAAAGCCACCATTTGTTGCAAGGACCAATAAAGTCAAACCCGCTGCTAAATCACTGTTATTCCAGCACAAATGAAAGGGAGGAAGAAAAAATAGTATCTTGGATCATGAGTGGGGTGACAAAAGCTAAATACAGAAGAAATCTGAAAAAATTCAATAAAAATTCAGAAAAAAAACAAAACCAGACTTTTTCAAAAGGTAGCAGAAAAAACCAGGACAAATAATTTTATAAAACGTTGATGATTAAGAGAATGTAAATATGAATTACAAAGCTGTTTTAAAAACATACCTCAGAGTCATCTTTAATGGTGTCATGTTTCCTGTTTGAAGGAATGTAGGGAACTGGAAAAAAAAAAACAAAGTAGTTTTGTTACAAAGGCCTTCCTTAGAAATAATCTTACAGACTGATAAACAGCAAGATGATTTAGTAGCTTGGGCTCAGTTTGCTTTAAATACTACAGGACAGTTGACCAAATGTTTCCACTTTCTTCTTGTAACTGGGAAGAGTGAAAACTGGGCCTCCAAATGGGGAAAGAGGGATTCCAGGGCAGCAAAGTACTCACTTCCATCAGTGTCTTCTGAAGGGAGATCAACTTCATCGTTTTTCTCACCTATCCGGGGTTCCTGGGAAGGCATGACCGAATCCTTGGGGAGCACAGGGACACGGCAGAGAGAAGCACACTGGTTATGCAGCCCCTGCCAGGTGACCCTGTCCTGCCTTTCAGCTACAGCTCAGTGAGAACCTCCCCCCTGCACCTTCCAGGATGAAAACTGGGGTTTGTAGGAAGTGTTTCTGAATCTTAACATCTCTGAATGTTACCATTTTGTAATGCATGATAACACCAGCCTGCCAAACACTTAGTGCTCCATCAGCCATTCTCTGCAACTGCAATAGATGTTTAGCTGTCTTCTAAAAGAAAGAGGGGTCTATTTTACTGCAAATTCAAACTTTTTTCCTATTTCAGACTTGTGAGTCTGCTTCACATGGAACTACAGCAAAGTAAACACTTGAGCATGATGTTACAGACTGCATTTAGAGCACTGGCATGTTCCCTTCCTGCTTAATAAAAACATGAATTGTTACTCATTATGCAAGGGCATTGCATAAATTGGTAAAGATCACAGCACCAGATAGTTTTACATTGCATGTGGACACTGGTCTCATTCATGAGACACGTGGGACTATTCCAGGAGGGGCAGCATCAGGCATAAATTAATTGGCAAAGAATTAGTAATGCCAAGGCAGGTCACAGGCAATACCACTAAAGAAAAATACTGGTTTAAGTCTTCAGTTAGAAAACCACACAACCACCAGTGAAACACTGGGGGTGAGTATGGGAAAGGGCTAAAATTCAGGCATACAGCTGTTTAAAGCCTAGGGAAGACACCAGCATTGCCACTGGAATACATGAGAACTGAACTGGAGAAACTGAGAGGGCAAGAACAGGAGAGCACCAAGCCCTTTTGCAAACAGCAGTGCAAAATCCACCCCAGTGCCTTGGTTCTTCAAACATTCCCACAGGCTACAAGGAACAACTGCTGAGATTGTCAGTGACAACTCTGTCTATCTGTAAAATACCAAATGTCTCATGGAGAAGTCAAATTCAAGCTTGAGCACACTCGAGTCGCATCGGGAGTTTTCTTTCCTCACTTTGTCTCTGCTCTCAACCCAAAGGCTCGTCCTCCACAGACATCTGAGAGACTGAAACCCAAACCCTGCCAAGGGTTATAAATCTACAGCATTTAATGACCCAGGACACACACCTACCAGCACAGGCCAGGGTGAACCAAACCCCCTCAGCCCTGTACAGGCTGCACACTCACCATATGCCTTTTGCAGGTCAGTGGGACAAGGATGTGACAACGTTTATGGACCAACAGCTTGCAGTTGATACACTTGTAGCCTTGCCTTCCGAGCCCCCATATCCTTTCACTGCACTGGCCACAGTACGCTCTCTGCAAGGACAGGGAGAGCAGCAGCTCCATCAGCAACGCCAGCACCAATCCCCCTCGGGAGGGCAGGACTTACCCAGCAGCAAGAACCCCTCCTAGTCACCCAGCAGGTGTTCAATAATGATAATTTCTGAACATCCAGGGTTTCCCCAATAACTGAAGGTTACACTTCACCCTCAGAGTTCAGCAAAATGCAGCCTTTTCTTAATGGATGTTTGTCTTTGCCTGATGTCATTTGTATGCAGATATAAAAGCAGTCCTGGGTAGGATTGTGACACTTGAGCTTCATAACAAGGTATCAAAATCTCCACGTGTGTATTCACTACTGGCCTAATTTCAATTAAACCATCATTATCTATAACATTCTGCATTATTAATGTGGCAGGTATGCATTCACACAGTGTTTCAAAGAAATATGTTTGAACTATGTAGCAAACAAACAGAAGTATATTTTCATACTATAAATTTAAAAAAATGGGTTGCCACAGCACATTATACAAATGCATGTGACAATTCAGATATATGACACAGATTTTTCACTTATCTGGTGACAAAGTACTGAGTTTTAAGGGGCTTTTCTTGCTTTCAGTGCAGTTTTGAGGTGGGGAACATAAAGAAAAACTGCTAATTTCAATTTTTTAAAAAATTACTGCTGGATGAAAGAGTTAACTGTCCTCAGTGCACTCAGTTTTTAGTGGAATTCCCTAAAGTGCACACCACATTTGTATAGATGCTGCAATACTCAGGCATAATGGGATAAGTGAAGGAGGTGTCTCAGCCTTAAAGCTACATTCACTTGCTTATGTGGCTCAAGCCAGATTCTCCCTAGGCAGCTGTATTTTAGCTCAATAAACTGGATTTTTAACTCTTAGATGATGCAGCACCTCAGATTCCAAACAGTTAAAGCTCAGATCAAGAGCTGTGATTTTTAAGAATGACAAAAAGTCCTGAAGGTAAAAGATTATGCAGACGAGCAATCAAAGTCACACAGGGAGAGGAGAGGGGACTGCTGCTCCAAGGATGCACCACTGTGAACAGTCACAAACCCAGTCCTTTCAGAGAGGCTTTAAAAATAAATATTTTCCACCAATCCCGCAGGAACTCCATCCCAGACTGAAACCCTTCCGAGTTCCCCTGCTCGGTGTGACCTGAATAACAGTGCACAGAGAGAACTGTCACACCGAGGGGCGTCTGGGCTGTCCCTCCCTGTCCAACACCCGGCACAGCCCCGGTCTGGCTGTCCCTCCCTGTCCAACACCCGGCACAGCCCCGGTCTGGCTGTCCCTCCCTGTCCAACACCCGGCACAGCCCCGGTCTGGCTGTCCCTCCCTGTCCAACACCCGGACAGCCCCAGCACAGCAGGCACAGACAGTGCCCAGCCCGGGCAGCCCCCCCAGTACTCACTCTGTTAAAGCGCTTGGCTTGGAACAAATGCCCATTCACTCGGTACAGCTTCCTCCATCTTCGGGCGCCCCGGCGGTAGATGGATTCTAGGGAAGAGACCAGAAAGGTGTAAAGCAGCAGCATGGCAGCTCAGCAGCACCCGCAGCCCGTGCCAAGCAAGTTGTGCCCGAGAACAATCTTGCTTTCCTAAATCTCAACGCACAGCTCGGCTGCCCGGGGGGTGTTAAGGCGGCCGTGAGTGACAGCCCGGGCAGGATGTGCTCTCCCCGCTGCCTCTCCCTTTCCTCCAGCCCTGTCTCCTTTTCCTCACATGATCATAATCCCGTTACAGCTCCGTGGCTGCTCCAGCTCAGGTGAGAGGGACAGAGCTGTTAAAGAAACAGCTTCCTCAGGGAAGTGACGCTGCTGCTCTCACTGTCCCCTTCCCATGGACACACAAAGGATCCCTTGGTGCCAATAACGCTCCAGATACACAACATTAAACATGTTACAAAGCTGCAGTTACATTATTTGACCTCCTTTTTATCTTGCATTAGACACTACCCAAAATATTTCTTCTGTTCGGGCAGTTCAAGTACAAGTCTACAATTCTTTTTAATACACTCTGAACATAAAAAGGAATCATTTAATCTGTTTAAGCCTGACTTTTCAAGAGGTCAAACACAACGGTACCCAGCATTTACTCCGAGTTACTTTTGCTGTCACTGTTTACATGCAAACGGGCACTTTTTGTGTGACTGGCTAATTAGAATTTGATAATTAATATTAAATGTGGTGCCACATTCGAGCTGGTGACACAACCAACCCCTAACACACAACCTGGAGTGGGAGCTTCCCACAGCAGCTCCAGGTGGGCACTGGGGGAGTGCAGGGGGTACAAAGAGCTGTAAAGACTCTGAGAGACTTGATCAATAAACACCCTCACAAAGCATCAAACTGTACATTTATAATCCTCAGAAATTAATGCAATTAACTTTTCGCCTTTAACGTTACTTTCAAGTTCTAAACATCCACACCTTATGTAAGATTAAGCCTTTTTTTAAATAGAAAAAAAACCAGACATTTTCGCTGTCAAATGATAATGCAAGTAGTAAAAAGTTTCTTTGTGGAGAAATTATTCTAAATTGTATGGAGCAAGCCAAAACTCACAGGCTACTGACACACCATGTGTGAACACTGACTGCAATACTGGGGCTGATTTTAGATACTCTATTTTTGTCCTTCCAAAGCAAGACACATAAAAGCATGGAAGTTCCTGTGACTCCACAACTCCGCAGTGCCAAATCCCCAAACATTCATACCTACTCTATTTACATGTGCAAATGTTTACTGTGCAAGCATCTGAAACAGATATTGCACTATTAAATGGATCGGTAACAATTTTTAACTAAAAATATGCCCAAACACAAACACTGATGAAAAAACCCTTCCACCGTTTGTAGGGTGACTTTTCACCAGGAGGAAAAAATTTTCACAAGGGTTTGGTTTTTTTTCCAAAATAGTTAATTAATTCATTAGACAAAGCACCATATGGAGGCAACGTAATACATCTGTGATCTGAGCATGAGCTTATCACTGACATGAGGAATATTAAGGGAATGATAAGTTAACGAGCAGCTTGTGCTGATGCCGTCTGTAAATAAAGGAGCAAGTCACCTCCCTAATTAATGATAAATATTAAATCAAAGGCAGGATCTTATATCACATACTTGTGAGGCAACAGTCTAACAAAAACTGAGCTTAATATAGAATACCTTTAGAAAGTAGGAACCCCTACAATTCACCCCGTGAGGCAAATCAATTCCTACTTCCCCCCCTCCAAGAGGGGTCAAGGTAAGAAAGGAGAAAACTGTGAGCATTTTGAGACACACCTTTACATCCCACATTCTGTGATTATTACACAATAAGACTGTTCTGTTCTGTCATACAAATTCTTTCCTGTTCACTGAGGATACAAAACTGGGACAAGTGGCTGATCCACCACATGGCTGTGCTGCTGGAGAGACCTCAACCCCTGGAAAACTGAGCAGGCAGGAACCCCAGGAAGGAGGCCACCCTCCCTAGGAATTCCCTCAGGGATATAATAAGGACTTGGAGGTTTCAATATCAATCAGCCACAGAAACCCTCACTAGGGCTATACCAGATCTAAGGAACCACCCTGAACAACAACCAGATTCACAAATGGCAGTACATGTACTCCTTGAATTAAGAACCAATTTACTGGCAGTGTTCTGGGATGTGTGAACAAAGCTCTGATCTCAGTTTGCATCTCACAGGGAAAAGGATACTTTTGAACCCAAATAAAATGTTCTGGAACATGTTTCCAGAACACTTTAGAATAAAACAAATAGGGATTCTTGATAACTAAACCAAGCTTTTACAGCCAGGACTGATCCCAGCCACCTAGACAGAGGAATGCCACCACAAAAGCCTGACTATTTAATTACTGTGCTTAATGAAAAGGGCTACTTTTTAATTTATTTCACAGCACACATCAGTTAACTCATTAAGGAGTTGGAGTTAGCTGCTTGCAGGCTGAAGGAGATATCATACCCCTAATTAAATAATCTTTCCTCTCTGATGAATATTAAACACAAGACTTTTCCTAACAAAAAAAAATAAATTAAAAAAATCTTCTGAATCCTCATTTTGTATGTGAAGAGATTTAGAGGAGAAATCAAAATATATTTTAAGCTGTTAACAGGGATAACAAATTTTTATTGGGGTACAGATATATATTCTAATGACAAACAACATACTGAATTTTTATCTACTTCCAAGATGGGAAAAAAAAATTTCAAGTTAAGATTAGAAGAGAAATAAAAATACCCAAACCAAAATACTTAAAAAGCAATGTGAAACAACTGGCTGTTGCTGCTGTGCAATTCTTCCCTCTGTTGTCAAGCTGTGCAACTACATCACTACCAGTGATGCACAGGGAACCTCGGGAATACATTTAATATTGGCTTCCCAGTGACATTCCCTGGGCTTGGGGTTCTTTTCACAAAATTTCAAATAAATACTATTTAATTGAGGATATAAATAGATGAGCAATTCATCTGTTGTTCAAATTAACTCATCTACACAAGATACCCCCCCAATTCCACAGTGACCTCCCCAGAAAGGATGGGACCCTTGCCTTTGGAAATGGAACCTGGAAAAGTGGGCACAAATAGAAGGCAGCACAATTATTTTCCAAATGACAACATACTTGGTTCACAGCAACGAATGGCCCCAGAAATGATCCCCTCTGCAGTCCCAGGCTCTGCTTTTCCGTGCTGCAGCTCTAATGAAGCCTGTTCCCATCCTGAGCACAGAGGTAATTTGCTATTGCTGCAAATCATTTCTCAGAGATTAATACAACTTGTTTACAGGCCAATTACCCGCCCTGCCAGCTGGACACTACCAGAATGCCCAGTTTTTGTTTTGTTCTGTTAATGTTGTGCTGAGCACACAAGTGAGCATTCTTTCAAAAACAACTCCGGAATTACAAGGGGGAAATTGATACTGGTATTCCAGAGAGCCTGGATTTGATAAAGGAATTCCACGTAAAGATAGAGCCCAGCTTGGGAAGGTAAATTCTGGAGGATTTTGAGAGCATACTGCTTCTCATCCGTCACATAATTTTTTGCAAATAGTTAAACTGAAACAATACAATTGCTTTCTGAAGAATGTAAAAGACATTCTTGGGATGGGTTAACTGGCCCTTCTTTTTATTATGAATGAAATTCTTTGTACAACTGAAGTTAGACAATGAAGAGTATCCTTAATATAGAGGTATTAAGTGCTCTGACCTCTTGCAGTTATTGCAAACATTAAATGGTCAGAAGACAGCTTCTTTTTTAAAATTTAATTTAAGACTGATTTGCAGTTGGGAAGCCATCTCCCCACCCTCCTTTTCCAACAGACATCAAAATTAACTACAAAGTCAGATCAACCTCTGTTAAAAAAAAAGCACAATTAAGACAACAACAGCGACCAAGGAAGTGTAGGACCAACAGCATCGGCAGAGGACCAACAAGGACACAAATCTGGCTCACAGAACAGGAATATTTACCCAGCATTTACTGCCACACTGTCAATGTCCTTCCCCACTGACTGCCAAGGGGTCAGTGGAGTCCCAGCTGCACTCCTGGAATACCTGTTCCTCCTGGATGCTCACACTCCCATCCTGCTGCTAAAATGGCTCCGTGGCACCGCAAGGTGACAAGTCACGTTACAGACACAATGCCACAAATAAAACAGAGCTAACAGCTCACTTGGAGCAAGGCTCTGACTCAGAACTCGATGACTTCATGGGAGATTTATCAGATGTACTTGAAAATAACAAAGTATTGCAAGTGTTAGGCAAGAAACCCTCAGTGAGTTCAGTCCCTGATGTGCCCCAGCAGTGACAGTGCCCTGGTTCTGAGCATCTCTGAGCACGTCAGGAACCACAACCTCTGGGTGTCCTTCCAGCCCCTCCTGCTGCATTTGCAAGGCTGTCCCAAGCACAGCATAAAATGCTGCTCTAGCTGTTGCTCTGATTCAAAAGAACATGTTATGAAAAGGGCCAGGAGACAACTGGTGCCAGATCCACACTTGGAAGGTGATGAGCATCTTTGTTCAGGAAAGAAAAAAAAACTTCCCGTTTTCCCTTCTCTCCCTGGGCCTTCCCTGCAATTTGACATTCACCCCTTTCCATGGCGTGGAGTTGGCTCCTCTGGTTACCAAGTCCCAGTGGTCACGTGCACCCCAAACCCAAACTGGCACTGCAGTGTTAATGAAAGTCCACAGGCCTCTTTTGGTGATTGCAGCATTTATTCTCCCAAAATAAAAATCACTTTCATTAAAAGATTTACTACAATGAAAACGGAATTTAATGTTCTATTAAGATCCTTGAAGAGCTACATCAAAACATTTAACCAAGCTGAAAGATACTGAACAAGTACTCATTGAAATTATCTAATCCTTTAATTTAACTTAGTACTGAAGTAGATCAAACTGAAGTTCTGAACATTTAAGTTATCTGTGGCATCTGCATCCACTTTGTTTTCTTGAAACAAACTTCTGTGTGTTAGTACATACGAGCAGCAATACTTTCTC